GTGTGTGTGTGTGTGTGTGTGTGTGTGTGTGTGTGTGTGTGAGAACGGGTGCATGTGCGTTACACTTCAGGTTTTGGATAATAGATGTTTGATAGGAAAGAAGGAGCAGACCACACCAGAGCACCCACCGCCCACCCAACACCAGACACTCAAAGACGTGTTTGCCATGCCCCGGATAAGAACACTGAAGGTGTAACAATGTGACGTCTCAACTTCCAGGTGATCTGTCAAACGTGCCACATGACAGTGTTTGAGAAGGTCTCTTGTGGACTCATGCGTTATACTAACCATAAGTGCAGATGGATAACCATAAACATCTCAGAATACAAAATTGAGAAACAAAAAGGTAATGATGACAAGAAAGGAAGATGGGTTATTGTCGTATATATTTTTTCCACACGGTACTGCGTGATCATCTCAGAGGAAACAACGGGCTGTCTTTGTCCAGTCACAGATGAACGTGTCTGACCGACAATCAAACTCATATCTTCCAGAACTGACAGACAACACAACTCCGGTCTTCCAGAACACATTGCCAGAGTGCTAGCCACTTGACTATAAGACATAAGAGGTGGAGCTTCTGAGAACGGAATAAAAGGACATACACATGAGGATGTTGGAAAATTTCTTTACCGGATGTCTCAGGCACAGCTGAAACTCTGAGCTAAACATAACGTCATTTTCAAACTGTAAAGTTCTGTGTACAACGATAAACAAATACACAAAAGAAAAACAAATCTGAAACTATCTCCTATGGCAGGCCACTGGACTGGTCACTTGACTGCTCATTTTTCCCCTCCCTATATGACAAAAAATCCAGGGATTTTCTATCTTTTGCTTTACTGCTGATTTCTTTCTTCACTATTTGAGCAACCTCTCTGAACCAGCGATCTCCCAGATTTCCGGAGTAAGCGACTCCACTGTAAATGATCATCAGTTCCCAGCAACCTCCTACATTTACGATTGAGCAGCACACAAAGTGAGACGAACAATCTTTGCATCACGTCAGCCGATGACACGGCAGGACTAGGACAGCCACGGTCACATGACACAAACGGTGCAAGGACACTGGTAAGTACACATAGTTTCTTTTTTGTTTTGTTGTAGTACAGGTTTTACGGCGCTCGCAACTGCATAAGGTCATATGAGCGCCAGAAGATTGGAGGTGTTACAAGAGAGTAACAAACATTAAATAAAAGAAGGAGAGATAAGGACGATAGATGTTTAATAGGTAAGAAGAACTTAGAAGAAGCAAACCACACCAGAGCACCCGCCAACCACCCATCAAGTACAGGTAGGAGGCAGGATGAACGACGAGAGAGAAGTTGATGGGGCAGACATCACGCTCAGACTAAGCAAAATTTCATGGAAGGTTTTCTTTTAAGCCTGACAACTGTCACAAAATTGCTTCCACAACACAGGAGGAAAATGTTCATGACAGACTGTTTCCGCAGAAGCCACACCACATCCTCACAATATTCTTCAACTATGAATCGCTACTTCATTCTTTTTTATTGAAATTGATGTGGAAATGAAACAAGTTAGAAACTATCGTAGTTGGGCCTTTCCAACAACAAGAACAGAACTGTGCAGGAACTGCAGCAAGACACAGCTCCAATCCTACAACAGGTTTACCAGAATCAGAAAATTCCAGAACTGTAACCCTCAATCTGCTGAAAGGAGTTACGGTTTGGAAAGCCTTG